GACTTTAACACTCAACACTCGCGTTGAAAATTGGAATGTCCCGATAGCTCTAAAGTAAACGCCAATGAGCGTGGCAGTCGGACGAAAGTATACAGGCTGAGCGTGCTGATAGTAAAATTAGCTCAGAAGTAAACGCACCCGAAGATTTTACTTGTTGTTAGCATTTACGCTTTTTTTTAAAAAAATAAAACTCACTTCCAACTTCAAAATTATAATAATTATTTAAAAACTTTTTGTATTATTAAATTCATAACAGATGACGCCACACAATTTTAACTTTGGTGAGAAAGTTACGCAACTCTTTGCTGAATTTTTTTTAAGGGTAATTGCTGATTTAATAGAAAAAATATTTTAAAATAAATATTGAGTTAGATTTCTGTGGAGTTTATCAAATTATATTTGCACTCTCAGTTTTTAATTTTGATAGACAATAATTTATAATTAAGTTATGAATTAATAAAGTTGAAATATAAATATTACATACACACAGTACATATTGTTTGTAAGTCGTAAACATTCAATTATTTTATATAATTGATTATGTAAGTAATTATGACAGTGCTGAGAATTTAGATGATTGTTTATTCACATTAGCTTTCCATAAAATATCATGAATAAATATGCTAAGAATATTTTAATGTTAATTTCTGTCATCATTGTTTTAGTAGGACTATGACGTCACTTAACAGAACAAAAATACTAAAAAACTTCTGTTCGTATGTATTCCATGTGAGAAAAGTATAAATTCAGTAATAGATGACGAGATGAATTTGGAAAAAACAGATTCTTATCTTATCTTTACACTTGTTGTTATGAAAATAGGAAGAAAAAACATTTATTTTTATGTACAAATTAAATCACAAATAAGGAATACAAACCAATAAAAGACAAAAAAAAAAAATAATAATGAACACCAAACATTTGTATGTCTCATATTCTCAACTGTATACCCACTTTTGCACTCTCCCTGTATATAGATAATAGTGTCTTTATCCTTTTTACACTTTTAAACCCTTTGACTGATGCATTAAATTTTTGATAGTTGATAGGTTTCAACATTACCAGAAAATACCCTAGAACTGAAAACAAAAACAGGAAAGCAATGTCACGACAGCTTTGTTTGCCAAATTCTGGATCGAAACCTACAGTAGAAAATACTTCAACTTTTCCATTTCTGTAAGCATTTTCTGTCGTGTGTTGACCTATGGAAAAACATAGTTATGAGATGGTGACATTTTATGTTTTGTATCAAAGAAAAGTGGCAGACTATTCAAGTAAAGAGATGAAGCAAATTTTAGAAGAGACCAGGAAGTATTCCTCAATAATAAAATGGGCAAACAATATAAAGGTGTCACACTTATGAAGACAATATGGTCAACTATTGGAGACTGTGCTACAATCGACTTAATTCTGCTCACGATATTCTGTATTTTGGAAATAGAACTAAACATAAAATAAAGGATAATAGAATCTATTGTCTATTCCAGATAAGTTGACACGCAATGTATCAAATCGATGGTTGAATAGTTTTGAACATCTCATCTCCCTGATTTCACCTTCTGTTAATTCATAAATCCTTTGCTAGACTTGGACCAGGTTTTCCAAAGTTACTTTAAGGATCCTGCGGAAAACATAAGCTACCTTGAAATCCGGACACCCCACTCCTCCTGATTTTATATCCTTGACACTTTGTGATAAACGTAATGATGATAGGCCAAAATAATCAAACTTTTAATATGGTTTTCATTTTTGTGTTTGCCCTTATCCCCAATGCTTCCTAGATCTGCTAGTAAAGTGATAAATTTAACAAATAAGTTTGAAATTAAATGAAATACTTCTGAAAATAAAATAATTAAATGAATATATATGGGGTTCTGTTCCAATTACATATAATTTCATTTACTTTGGGTAATTTAATCATAAGTTGAACTTTGTTATAAGTTTTATGAGTATATAATTACATAATGAAAAATAATAAATATAAATTATTTAAATGCTAATGGACCTTTTTTTAAAGATACATAAACAAATGTATGTCCACACAATCAATTAGAATAACTGTGGAAGACAAATCTTGAAAAAGACATTGATTTATTGTGATGTTTATCAGAGAATGAGGCAGAACATGAAAAATGTTACTGATTTTGCCATTGGCCAATATTATTTTTGCATTTTCTTGAAAGCTTGTTGTTTCTAAATATGATCCTAAAGTATTGTATGTGAGCCTAAAGATATTCATAGCTTAGTTAATTCTATACAAAGTATCTGTAGATATGATAAAGTTTAAAAGCATTATAAACAGTAGGATAGACTATATAATATAATACTATACAGGTATACTTCGCCTTACGTCGGTAATTGGTTCCAGGAGAGGCAACTTAAGTCGAAAAACAACGTAAGTCGAATTTACTTGTCTCCGAATTTACTCGTCACTAAAAACACCAATATTGAGCACTTAAAGACTGCTAAATAAGATGATAACACAGAAACACAGATGTTTTCATGTTTTGTTCTCTAGGATTTACGATAATTATATTAACATTTACTGTAAATGTACAGTACATATTTTAATATGATTTCATGTGCTTTAACACTTTTTTAGTGATATTACGACTTCAATATTTGTGGCGAACGGACATAAAGTCGAATAAAATGATTTAAACTTAATTTTTATTTTTCCATATATTTTTTGACAAACGACATATAATCGAGAACGACGTAACTCGAGGTATACCTGTATACATATTTTTTCTTTCTTTGTATATGTCACATGAAAAAATAACAACATGATGATTTATTATTGCTGTGAAATTGTCTTGAATGGTAGACTGTTTCCATATATACAGTAATAATAATTTCTGGTGAGTATTAAATATTTTTTTAATATTCTTTATATTTTTATTAATCTGTAAATCAAAATTACAGTTAAATACAACTTTTTTCATATATGCTAGTAAAATATTTATTCTGTTTGAACCAAGTTTTGTTTCAGGTCAATATTGCTTACACGGTATTTTTTCCAATTCCTTATAAAAGTGTAAAATATAATTGTTATAAACAGATAAGGAAAGTTCTGTTTTAGCCATGTTTTTTAATTAGATGTTAGCTATCACTATTGAGTTTGAATAAGAACTGATAGTTAAAAATACATGATTTATTTTGTCACTTCATTACTTAATAAAAAAAAGAAGAAAAAAAAAGTTAAGATAATTCCATTAAATTTTTTGATACTGAAGGTTGTCACTGGTGTTCTTTGTTGTTACCCTGCTGCTAAATTATTGCATCAATAATATAAATATACTCTGTGGAAATGATCCTTCATATTTTTCTGATACATAATTATTTTAATAGAATAAGAACATAGTAAGCTATCACAATAAATGTTGTTAATGTTTTTATTTTTAATACATTATTATAAATTCCAACTGTGATACATTTATTCATACTTTTATAACTGAAGTTTCTAAAAAGTTAGACTATACTGATAAATAAAATACATAACACTTCTTATTCTAATTAATGATCATATTTTAAAGAAATAAATTCACCAAGGTTATTGTAAAATATTAAAAATGTAGTTATTCAAAATAAAATACAAAGTATGTAAATGGATTAATTGCATGAATATTTGTGGAAATAATTATGAAATTAGATTAGTTAATCTTTTCCTTAAGCAAGTAAATAAATTTAATTTAATCTGAAAATGAATTCAAACATTTATTTTTGTAGAACAGTAACCTGATTTATTTTCTTCACATTTGTTAAACTAATATCAGCCTCACTGCATACAATGCTCTAATAATACTACTTAACATGATTTTTTACCTCTAGGGAAATAAGTGTGTTTTTTTTTATTATTAATAATTTTGATGCCTACATTTCAAAAATCAGCATGAAAATGGCCCATCATGTCAGTTTTCATATATTGAAGCTCTTATTATATTAAGTATCTGTACATTTATCAATGTAAAGTAGATGATGCTACCAATATTAGGAATAGGGTTTCTCATTTCCCGGTCTTTTGCTTGTCCCGGGATCCCGGGATAAAAGTGAACTGTTTCCCGGGATCCCGGGATAGAATTAATTATTTTTAAGGTATACAAATTATCTTGAAATCAAATGATATAATTATTTTCCATTTTTTAAAGTAATTTTAAAGTTCTGTAACCTCCAAAATCATATTAATAATGCTGTGTAAGGTCTATAGGCCTATAATAAAAATTACCTTTAAATAACGTAGAAATTTTCACAAATAGAAAAAAAATTAATTAAAGTTTGCTACTTTGCACAAAGGACAAGGGCCTCGCAATGGATAAGGCCGCCACTGCCGACAAGTAAAGAATTTTTATAGTCCTGCCACAAATAAGCTATACATTGATTATTGACCATTTGTGACATGCTATAACAAGCAAAAATTTAAAAAAAAACTAATAGGTAGGTTTAAAATTAATAAATACGAATGTATTTTGACAGTGAATGAGTTAATTATGCTTTCTATTTGCAAAATTCCTCAACCTTAACACAAAATAAGAAAAAAAGTGAATTTTTAAGAAATTTGCGGGATTTCCCGGGATAAAAAAAATTTCCCGGGTTAAAAAAACAACCGGGATCCCGGAATCCCGTTTGAGAAACCCTATTGGAAATGGACGTGAAAGTAATTGCTTGTGTGCCCCTCCTCCATCGTCGCTATAAAAGACAATGGCAGAGGCAAAGAAAATTTTGGGTGCACCCAATATTACGAGATAGACTGACACATGGAATGTTCGCGACGTTGTATCCAAAACTAAGACAAAATGAACCCAAGTTTTTTAATTCTTTTAAAATATCTATAAAATCATTTGACAATGGTTGGTCTCTTTTAGATTTCATCAATAAATAGATCAGTATCGAAATGATCGTTCTCCATTTCGGTCAACGTACGTCCACTTTACCCGAAAACGCGCGATCGAATGTACAGTAACATGGCAGCACATATATCTCAAAGTGCTCGGCTGACGCCCGCTTGGCCAAAAGTGCACGTTTGAGTGTGTACGCCTATGTAGAACTCTTGGTTCTTTAAAACGTGCGTTTAAAAACGCCTAGTGTGTACACAGCCTTACTGACTACCTAGTTACATATAAATACAGACGATAACTTAACAACAATGAGCGGCAGTTGTGATTTTGAGTCCCACTCGGGTGGAGTATTTTTTTCCATAAAAATCTAGTCCGATAGTTCGATAATTCGGCAGATCGTCTGGCTTTAAAACTATTTTTGATTGGTCCCACATCTTCCTAATTTTTAAGCACGTAGAAATGACCAAAAAAGTGAGGATACTTCAGAAAAGTGAGCGACTCCGAGGCCTGTGGATATTGTCTGAAAGAAGTGTAGTTCGTAATATTATACATAAGTGTGTCACCTGTGTAAGAACCAGGGGAAGAACTGCCCCTCAGTTAATGGGTGATTTACCAGCCCCTAGAGTTCAACCCAGTCGGCCCTTCAGTATTACTGGATTAGATTATGCTGGTCCTTATTTGTTTAAGTTACGAGGTGGAAGAGGTGTTCGATCTTCAAAGTGCTATGTTGCTATATTTGTATGTTTTTCCAGAAAGGCTGTACACCTTGAATTGGTTAGTGACCTACTTACACCAACATTTTTAGCTGCGCTGAAGAGATTTATTGCACGTCGGAGAAAACCAGTTAAAATTATGAGTGACCGTGCCTCCAACTTCAAAAAGGCTAGTAAAGAACTGAAGGAAGTTTATAAAAATGTGTCACTTATAGGCAAGAGTAGTGAATTGGCTCATTTCATCACTAGTGAAGGTATAACCTGGATTTTTAATCCACCAGCCGCACCACATTTTGGAGGAATTTGGGAATCTGCCGTAAAATCAATGAAGATCCATTTGAAGAGAGTTATAGGATCTATATTGTTAACGTACAAAGAGTTTGTAACGTTGTTAACACAGGTGGAATCATGCTTAAACTCTCGTCCCCTTTGTCCAATGTCAAGTGATCCCAATGACTTGCAGGTATTAACTCATTGTCATTTTTTAATAGGTGCACCGTTGATTGTTATCCCAGAATCTGATTTGAGTGATATAGCTCTTCCTAGACTGAAACGTTGGACTCTAGTACAACAAACAGTTTCACACTTCTGGAGACGGTGGAATGCAGAGTATTTGACAACTCTCCAACAACATCGTAAGTGGTATCATTCCTCACCGAATTTGGAAATTGGTGACCTTGTGTTACTAAAAAATGAACAACTTCCTCCAAACCAATGGAAAATTGGTCGTGCTATACAGACCCATCCTGGTAGTGATGGTCGTGTAAGAGTTGTTACTGTATTCCCATCTACAGGAAAGCTCATAAGACCAGTTACTAAATTGTGTCCACTACCCAGTAATAATTAAGTAATATTTAACATTCGAGTGATTGTTGGTTCGCTCCAGCTACAGGTGTAATTGATACCTTGCAGGTGTCAAGGCTGAGGGTAATGTTTAAATTATTATTTATTATTTTTTGGAAAGTTTTTTGATGTTGTGAGAGGGCGCTTTTTTATGCACGTTTTTTGGTGATGTTCGTGGGGCGTGGTCGCCATCTTGGCTGTAAAACGGATTCGAGAGGAGTCTGGGCAGTATTGAACGAGTGTTTTGGCTTGTCGAAACTAATAAAGTTGTTTTAACAGTGCAATTATTGTGTGTGCTTGTATACAGTCCATTTTCGTCATAAACACCAGGAGGGTCTGAAGCCATTTGTAGTGTTAAAGTTTATTTCACATCGGTTAAAGGTTTTTCTGAGGTATGTGTTATTTAGTTAAATCCGATGTGCAGGTGATCATTATTATTAATACACAATTATCCATGTATGAGAAAAACGGTGAAATGGTATATAAAAAAAAGCATTTTTTCAGATGCTGGATATTTCACTATATAATGCTTGTGTTTTGTATCGCCAACATACAAAAAACAGATATCATCTCTTGATTTTCAAATGTCTGTTATTAGAGAAGTGATAGAAAAGTTTCACACAAGCAGACATGTGGCCCATCGCAGTCAACCGTCACACGAAAATCTGTTATATTTATCTGAATGGCATTTTTTGAGTTCTATACTACCAATAGAAAAAAGGAACATCCAACAAGAGTTTGTAAAGTCTGTTCAGCAAACAAAAAGTGAGTAGAATCACACTATCAGTGTGTACAATGTTCCATTCCATTATGTGTTGTTCCTTGCTTTGAATTTTATCACACTAAAACCAACTTCTAAAATAAAATTTTTTGTTTTTACAATTCCTAATATGTCTATTTTGTATGTGTAAAATATAAGGTAATTTGGAATGACACAATAGCCACAATTATTATTTTTGTAAAACATGTAATCACATTAGGCTTAACATCGAAAAAAATTCAACATCAGATAGCTTTTAAACAATAATTCTGTAAACTTTGGTGTGTGTATCTAAATTGTTAATTAATTACAGTAGTTTAAAACTACTATTCCTTTTCTCACTGCACAAGCAATGGTTTTTTCTTTTTTCATAACAGTCATTGCCATGGCAGTGACAGTGTAGCACCAGTCAACAAGTAGTAGTTCAAGCAGCTATTTTGACCATTGTTTACTTTTTTCAAGAACAAGTTCATTTTTTACTACACTTTACACAGCGTACTATTAATTGTTTTCTATAACTTCCTGCATTTATATCTACAAGCAAGTGGATTTTACAATGTTGTTCAGTTTATTTTGTGCAATTTACGTTTTTATTAATTATCCACAGTCGTATTGTCCACATTAACTGGCAAGGCAAAGCTTTGTTATGTGATACACTTCTTGTCTGGTCTTGTGTTGAATTATACGAGCGCTAAGGTGGCTTTTCTTTTTTGCTAGACTTATTATACCATCAATAAAAAAATTACAATCTTATATAATCTTTTATACCCAACCCCCAAGCCACGGACTGATCAAATGGTACCGAGCCGCCCAAGAAATATTAAATTATTTACTGTGGTGTATTTCTCTCAGGTTGTGCAACTTTCAATGGATGAGAGGTTAACTGGGAGCTGAGAGACATCACCTAAAACCACACCAATACTGCACATGTGCAAAATATAGTGATATTGGGGCAGTTTTAGGTGACTGGAGTTGAGTGGCCGCAAGCAGCAGTGGCATTGCAGCTTTGGTGGAGAGAAGGTGTATATCGCTCTTCTTTCTGTTCACTGATACTTTCTCATGTTTAACAGTGCTTGGTGTACTTCTATGTTGTGTTTGCTCAAATTTAACCCAGAAATTAGCAAAAATGAGTACAAAACAGACATCGTTAAACAGTTTCTTTGGGAAAAAGAAAAGGCCCAGCGAAGAGACAGAAGAGGAGCCTTCAACATCAAAGAAGCATGGTATTGTCTGTTAAAAGTTTTATGAGTCCTACTTGAAATACAGATTTATCGGGACAGGTGATTCCCACATCCCCGCTCTGCATAGTTTGCGACGACCAGCTCTCTAATGATGCAATTCACCCTGCATTAAAAGACAAGCCCCTGGAGTATTTTGAAAGAAGAAAATAGGAACATGAAGGAAAGAAGAAATTCCTGAAAGCCACATCAAAAAAGGAGAATGCACGGAAAGCATCATATTTGTTGGCTAACCATATTGCTAAGGCTAAAAAGCCATTCACTTTCAGTGAAAAATTGATATTGCCCTCCAATAAAAACATTTGCCGTCAACTTCTAGGAGAGGCTGCTGTGGAAAAGATAGCACATGTGCCTTTGTCGGCTAGCACTGTGAATAGGTGGTTGCTTGGTTCGAGTTTTTTGACACAAGAGCCATTAAGGCTATACTGCGCCATAACAAATGATGAAATTAAACAAAACTAAATATATATATCATAAGATATTAATAAAACACAAACATAAATAACTGCAAATAAACAAAACAACAAAATAAATATAAGTATAATAATAAATAAATAATTAAATCTATTTCTAAATATTTATAACTTTCAGAAAGTTCAGTATCTTATTGTGAGATCCGAACAGACCCTGGGACTAATTAATAATTTAATTATTAAGTAAAATTTTGAACAAAATATTCTTCCATTTTTTGGTGTGAAAATATTGTTTTTCTAACGTGGGAAACGGATAAAAAAGTCACTTCCTTTAACAGAAGTTGAAACATCCTTCTGTTTTCCACTTATCTATCCAAAATCAACACCCTGGGAATTGTCAACCCCTCGATAAATCCCCTCCTCCTCTATTCACGTGAGGAAATCCTAAACGCTAATTGGATGAAAAGGGGGAGATATAGTCAGAATTTTGCATGATTCGGGGAGTGTCAGAAGATCTCATAGAGGAGAGAAGTATATCCCATTTGCTCCCTAAGGCCAATGCCCTTAGTTAGGAGTATGCATGAAGATCTCATAGAAGAAAGACATAGTCCATACTTATACCGAAAGCCAACATTTTAGCAATCACCCACATGAATTTAATAATGAGTTAAATTAGTTGGAAATAGAAGAAAATTTATATTTATGTGCTTTTCAAGATCTCTCCAAGAACAGAAGTTGAAGAACTGGAGGAAGTGAAGTCTAAAGAAACTAAAAAGATATCACCATAAAGAGAAATCGTCTAGAGGTAGTATGATTAACATTGAACAATTGAGATAGAGCTCACAATTTCAATCTCCCAGTAGTTTACATTTAATTATTGAATTATTCCATTTTTGTGTAAGTTTGTTTATTCTAGTTTTATTAAATTCCTTTATTAATTGTTAACGAAATGTCTCATTATTGTCTGAATCAAATCCGTGTTAACCTCCACTACTCGCGTGTCAGGAATCCTGACGAGGGAACGAGGGATTGTGAAATCCTTTAGTCCCGTTATAAAATTAACTAAATCTGTAAGTCCCTCCACACTTGATATTCCTAGAAAAAGGAAAAGCCATTCGTTTTGATGACCAGAGGGCTATTCTCACTGAATAGTTTGCTGAGTAAGTAATACTATGAGTAATAACTACTCCGTACCTCCGGCTAACCCCTCACACTTATCAAGGTTTGGCCTCTGGCCCAAAATCTCTCTCAAACTTGCATTTCCGAAATGCTGTCTATGACTTTGATACAAAGCAACGCAGTTGCAAAACACTTACAGCACAGTTGCAATACTGACATACTGGTTGATCATCACCATTCAAAAGGTATTGATGAGTCAGTCGTATGTCCCCAATTCTCAAACGGGTAAGGATAACTTCAGACGACCTGTCATACTGTTTGTTAAATGTCCAATTTTCTATCGTATGTTTGATCTCGTATAGTTTATTGTGGATTTGTGCGTTCCACATATTTTGCCATCTCTCTGCTAGTCGTTTTTTAATGACTAGCAGAGAGATGGCAAAATATGATTCAAATCATCTCCTTCAATAAGCATTGTATGCAGTCAAGGACTTGCTGACTTTGCAGCTGTGTCAGCTTCTTCATTTCCTCTTATACCCATGTAGCCTGGGTTGATTGGTTGGTTAATTTTTATTGGCACAAAAGCCATACAGGCTATACTGCGCCATGATACATGGTACAATTGGAGATATAAAATAAACAGGAAAACACATATATACACAAACGAAACATAACAGTTTAACCAAAGCCAATGGTAATATAAATATAAAGTATAATAAATAAATAAACAACAAAAAATATATACAATAATTTAAATAGGCAACACAAAGTAAATAAAACTGTACAATGAATAAATCATCAGATTTCTCTATACATATTAATTATTTTCAGAAATTCCAGTATATTATCCAGATTTGGCCTCTGGCCAAAAATGTCTCTCAGGCTTGCATTTTCGAAATGCTGTCTACGACTCTGATCAAAAGCAACACATTTGCAAAATGTGTGTTTACCCACGTAGCCTGGGACCCAACAAAACTTTACAGAGGAGTTACACGCAGTAAGTTGGCAAAACAGTTTATGGATTTTAATCCCTATAGATTGAGAACTAGGTTCACACGAGATCAAAGCCTGAAGTGCACTAACTGAGTCAGTGTAAATCACGCAGCGGTGATGACCTTTTCTAATTATATACTTTAAGGCTGAGTGAATAGCCTGCAGCTCTGCAATAAAGATGGAAGAATTCGATGCAATTTGTTCATCCACAATTTCATCCTAACAGACGAAGGCAGAGCCAACATAGTCATCAGATTTAGATCCATCAGTATAAATGAGAATTAAATTCCTGTTACAATTTTGAATTTCTGCAAAGTGCTGCCTGTAAACATAATCTGGAGTGGATTCCTTAGGAAACTGCTTTAAGATAAGGTCAACATTTATCACAGGAGTTGACCAAGGTGGTATACTATCAACCTTAGGCTGTGAGATGTTGCTTATGTCGAAACCAATCGTGCTGCTTACATTCTCCATTCTTATGTCTAATGTGGGGACACTACTTGGGCAAGCTTCAAATAACCTTTTCATCTGAGTATATGATACTGTAAACTCAACTGAAGGTTTAGTATTAGATTTCTGTTTGATATAATAAAAAACAATAAAACAACTGTTCTCTCCTGAGAGATAGTTGAGGCTCATAAGCATCCACATACAAACTTTGGACAGATATTCGAAATGCACCAGTGCACAAATGCAGTGCTTGATGGTGGATTGGATCCAGCATCCGAAGAGTAGATTCTCGTGCAGAGCCATAAACAATGACCCGGTAGTCCAGCTTTGAGTGCACACGGGCCCTATAAATCCTGAGCATAGAACATTTGTCTGCTCCCCAGGATAAGCAGCATAGTACCTTTAAAAGGTTCAAAGATTTTAAACATCTACTCTTCAAATTGTGCATGTGCGGCAAGAACGTCAGTTTATGGTCGAAAAAAACACCCAAAAACTTCACTTCATTGACCATTGGGATTTTAACCCCATTAAGGTGGTTTTAAGGATCCAAGTGCAAACCACGCCTTCGGCAAAAGTGGATACACGAGGTCTTCTCTATGTTGAAACTAAAACCATTAATCTTTGACCAATGGTCTATGCGATTTAGGGAGGTTTGCAGTTGTCTCTTGATAAAGCTCATGTTGCTAGACTGGCAGGAGATCTGAAAGTCATCCACATACAAAGAGTGTTTCACACTAGGGGGAAGACAGTTAGCTATGCTATTAATTTTAAGACACCTCTTTAGTAGACGTGTCCTAAACACAGAAATTTTTGAGGGTCGACGTGTATAAGAGCTATAAGCAAAAACTCGTCAAATTACTTACCGACTCTACACGATGGAAGATGCCATTGCTTAACCTTGTTCACATTGCAGAGTAGCATGTTGGACGGCGGACACTTACAATTCGTGTCATGTGACCTCTGTTCCACGTCATCCAGTCATGTGACTGATCTTCCAAAATTTCTTGGAGTAAAATATTAAACTAAAATTATGCTATATGCCCTTTTCATTATCATTACAAAATTACCATAACTTCTCAGCCCAATTCCCTCCTTAGGGTTTTCGATTCTTCTAAATCAAAATTTTTCTTTTATTAATATCTTTCTAATTAATTATTCACGGTAAATCACATCTTATCATCATTAAATGCTCTTTTTAAAATAACTTAATG